TCATCAAGAAAAATTTTTCAAACATACATGGATTGTGTTTTCAGGAGTGCTGGGCTTCATCCACGGTTCTGAGTAACATGCTTCCAGAGGAAGAAAGATTTGCTGCTCAGGCATGGAGACAGAAACACAGACACACACACACACACACAGTGACACAAAAAACACACAAACACAGGCCTCACACACAACTGCTCGTGTTCAGCCAAATACTTAGTGGTATGAGGTGGGCTTTGAACCCGTCCATGCTCCAAAGGAAGACACACCTTTCGCTATTTCACCCGTCTATTCTCGTAGGAAATGTGAATAATTCTTTCAGACAAGGCTCATGATGACAGGGACCACTCTCATTTCACCCTCAGAGGCAGACAAGAGGACTGCAAAGGACTCAGGTGTCGTCCCTGCTGACTGAAGAGGACTCCCATTTCCCCTCGAACCCGAAGTCACAGCAAAAGTAGCTTTCTCTTTGAAGAGCACACAACTTTTTCAAATTTTTTTTTTAATCTTCTAATATTTTATTTAGTGGAGGGAAAAGTGTAATGGAGGTCTCAGGTGGATTACATCTCCAAAGGGGAAAGGACAAAGGCCTCTGGCTTGGCTTCCTGCTTCAGCACTCCAGTCAGCAGGAACTCAGGTGAGAGGAGGGGCAGCCCAACCCGTTGTGGAACAGAGCATCGAGGGAAGTCCTTGGGACATGTGATCACAACTCTCTGAGGCTTATAGGACCGAGGCATTCTGGGCAGGACAGTGCCTCCACAGCACCTGATGATCTCTCCCATCTGAGGTGGTGGTGGCCGGACTCCAGGGGTCACATGGATCTCATAGCCCTCTAGCAGCCTTCGCTCCCGCGCCCGGCTCAGGGCATCTTGAAGGCTAAAGCCAAAGTTCTTCTCTTGCTCATGGTCAGTCACCACATATTCATCCGGGGGTAAGAAGCAACCAGCCTTGCGGGACTGATGCAGCCAGTCCAGGGAGATAATGGGGATTCCTCGCCCCAGGGCACACAGGAACTTGACTGTCCGGCGGATACGATCAGTGACCAGGTGGGAAGCCTCTGCCGCTGAAACAACCACACTTCCCCCCAGTGCCAGCACGGCCAGCTCTCCCTGGGCATCCACCACGCCTGTGAAGAGCACTTTGGGGGCTGTTGATTCCTGGGTAAGTTTGGTCCGTCGGAGGCTGCGGGTCTGTGTTCTGTTGGGCTCCTCCTCTGCCTGGTCTCTCTTTCTCTTGCCTGGTTTTGGAGTCATGACATCCTCTTCTTTCCCTGGCCACTTTGTAGTATCTTGTAACTCTTCCTTGAGAAACACTGTCTTCTGGGCGACTTCTTCTCTTTGGGGCTGTTTTTGAAGTGGCTGTGAATCCATGGTGGCAAAAGGCCTCTCGCAGCTTTGAGAGGCCTCAGGCTGGGGTTCTGGGGTAAACCTAGATCTACCTCCTGCTTCCACCTTTTGGATCTGGGAGACATGAGTTAGTGTCTCAAGAAGCTGGGGAGAAGCAGGCTCAGTAATGGCTGTAAGGGATTCAGTTTCTCTAACTGCTCCCCATCTTTGGTTCCTTGAGGCCCAGGATTTAGGTTCCAGGGGTGCAGAGCAAGGCTTATGGTCAATGGGAGCTTTGAGGGAGCCAGGATTATCAATGACTCTCTGCCTCTTGCTGCGACTGGCTTGAGGAATAGGCTCAGGGGAAATAGGCTGGTCTGTGGTAACAGGGGACTGGAATTCAGGGGTGGTAGGAACTGACACAGCACTTAATATGGAAGACCTCAGTGTTTTACTCTGACCACCCTGAGCTATGGCGTCAGGGGTGACAGGCTGGTCTGTGGGGATAAGAGGCTCAAGATTAGAGGCTGCTGCTTCAACTGGTTTGGGAGTCTTGACAGAGGACCTATTTACCCTTCCTCTAGTGGCTCTAGATGTGGGCTTAGGGGTGACAGGCTGGTCTATAGAGGTTGTAGGCAGGGGCTCAGGGGCTGTGGGGACAAGTGGTTCAGGGGTCCTGACAGAAGACCCATTTGTCCTGCCCCTAGTGGCCCTAGATGTGGGCTCAGGGGTGACAACTGTTTCAGGGGTTTTGACAGAGGACCTATTTTTTCTTCCCCTAGCGGCTTGAGATGTGGGCTCAGGGGTGACAGGCTGGTCTGTGGACGAGGAGGCCTGGAGCTCAGAGGCTATGGGGACAACTGTTTCAGGGATCTTGACAGAGGACAGTGGCTTGACCAGGATCTGACAGGAGGAGATCTTCGGGGCTGACTGGGATGAAGGGAACTGCCTCTGATTTAAAAGAAGTGCTTTCAAGGAGTTAATTTCAGACTTGAGTTCCATGATATTCTGGGGCTCTAGAATCCAACTGGTGAATGTGGTGGCCTTGGCAGTGGCCAGCTCACAGGCGAGCTCCTGGAGCGTCTGCTGCTGCAGAATCAGCAGCTGCTGGACGGAGGTGAGGGTCGTCTGGAACTGAGTCACTGTCTGGGCCATGCTGCCACTCAGCTCAGAGAGAACGGCCTCCATCCTCTCCAGCTGCTTCCTGTCCTCTCGTCCGCCCAGGTTGAGGGGGAGCAGGTATTTCTTATAGAGTAGGTGGAAGGCAAATGCGATGAAAACTGTGATGATGGCCAGGGCTTTATTATCTCGCCATCGGGAGCCTGCGGGGCTGTATGGCTGAGATACGAGGTGACAGGGCTGGACACGAACTACCCGTGTGGCTGGGCCCAAGGTTGAAGGCTCATGCGCAGCAGTGCCCGACGGCTGGAAGGCCATATCAATCTCTTTATCTGTCAGCCCTTTCTTCTTAAGGAATGCTCTCCTGGTTGCAATTCTTATTTGCGATAAAATAGAGTTTAAATCTACAAAGATAAAAAGAGACAAAGAAGGACATTACATAATGGTAAAAGGATCACTGCAACAAGAAGAGCTAACGATCCTAAATATATACGCACCCAATACAGGAGCACCCAGATACATAAGGCAAGTTCTTAATGACTTACAAAGAGACTTAGACTCCCACATAATAATAGTGGGAGACTTTAACACCCCATTGTCAATATTAGACAGATCAACCAGACAGAAAATCAACAAGGATATCCAGGACCTGAACTAAGACCTGGAACAAGCAAACCTTGTTAGACATTTACAGAACTCTCCACCCCAAATCCACGGAATATACATTCTTCTCAGCACCACATCACACCTACTCTAAAATTGACCACATAATTGGCAATAAATCACTCCTCAGCAAATGCAAAAGAACAGAAATCATAACAAACAGTCTCTCAGACCACAGTGCAATCGAGTTAGAACTCAGAATGCAGAAACTAACTCAGAACCGCACAGCTTCATGGAAACTGAACAACTTGCTCTTGAATGTTGACTGGATAAACAATGAAATGAAGGCAGAAATAAAGACGTTCTTTGAAACCAATGAGAACGAAGACACAACATACCAGAATCTCTGGGACACATTTAAAGCAGTCTCTAGAGGAAAATATATAGCAATGAGTGCCCACATGAGAAGAAAGGAGAGATCTAAAATTGACACCCTATCATCAAAATTGAAAGAGCTAGAGGAGCAAGATCAAAAAAACTCAAAACCTAGCAGAAGACAGGGAATAACTAAGATCAGAGCAGAACTGAAGGAAATAGAGACATAAAAAACTCTTCAAAAAATCAATAAATCCAGGAGCTGGTTTTTCAAAAAGATCAACAAAATAGACAGACCACTAGCCAGATTAATAAAAAAGAAAAGAGAGAATAACCAAATTGATGCAATAAAAGACGATAAAGGGGATATCACCACAGATTCCACAGAAATCCAAACCATCATCAGAGATTATTACAAACAACTCTATGCACATAAACTAGTAAACCTGGAAGAAATGGATAAATTCCTGGACACCTGCATCCTCCCAAGCCTAAACCTGGAAGAAGCCAAAACCCTGAATAGACGAATAACATGGTCTGAAGTTGAGGCAGCAATAAAGAGCCTACCACCCAAAAAA